TTACTGATAAGTGATCTTTCTAACAATCCTCTTCTCCCTTTTCTTCTGCTCCTTGCACAGAACCATTTTTGTGCTGTGCTTTTTGTACTCATCTGTCCAACCAGAGTTTCGGAGTCATTCCCATAAACACTGATCATGGCTTTTCATATGACTGTTGCCAGTACACAGCCAAAATACCTTATTGAAAGCCTGGTGCTGCAAGTGCTGCTTGGATTCTTTCCGTGGACTCTGGCCCAAAATAATCATCTCAAACTCAAGTTGAACTTCTGAGTTATGATATGATTAAAAAAGATCATTGAGTAATACTGTAGGACCCTGAAAATATTGGGAAATTATTTTAGAATCCTTTGTAGGTGCTGGAAACTTCTCCAGTGTAGAATGTGCTTTAAAAAAGTAAAGAAATGAGCATCTAGAGTGTCTTTTAATAGTGTTTCATTATGAAAGAAGAAATTTTCTGACCTAGGTCAAAGCTTTTGGGACAGATTGTTTCCTTACGAGCATTTTTAAACAATAGTTATGTTATTAAGACTCTTGGCAAAAAGTCAGATTAAGGGGAGGGAGGAGGATGGGGAAAGGTTTTGTGAGGAATCCAGTCAAAAGCTTGCAAGCCTGTTTTGGAGGATGTAATGGAATTTTCTATTGGATGGGAAATTTTGTTAGAAACATAGGGCATAAAATTCTCAAAGACTTCCTGGGAACAGTTTTAGTGCTGTTTTCTAAATCTGATGAGTTTAATTCAGTTTCTTTGAAACAAGATTCTGCATATGAGTTGAGGTCTGAGAAATGATGAGTAGTTTATTCAGTCAGTTTTATTCCTAGGTTTATCTTAATGTGTGAAGTGAAGAAATCATCTTTTTTTTTTTTTTTAATTTTAAATAACATGCTTGGTTTTTGGAGGTTTTTTTATTTAGACAAAAGAAGGCAGTGTGCAGTTCAAAAAATATCCCTCACACTCAGAATTGTTGAGGTGGCACGATGGCTATGGAGGCATAATGGGTTTTTGAGGATGTACTTCAGATGGTCTTAGTTGAGGACAAGGAGACAGAGTTTGAGGTGTTTGTGTCCAAACTGGGCTGTTCCTGAGTGTCTGACTGACAGCAACACTAAGTGCAGTCAAGAACAGTGATATGACAATTTTTTTATCAAAAAGAACAAGCTGAGAGAATGAAACCTGGTTTTTATGTTTACCTCTCCCAGCTGTGATCTCTGACAACCTTTCAGGCCGTCACCTGAAAGGACATGTGGTGCCAGTCTGCCTTCTGATGCCTAAATCAGTAAAACCAGCAGTGAACTGGGGAAGAGGGCAGAAGTGCAGCTGTCCTTTGTCCCTCTGTAGGTCTGATTTGACGTGCCAGGACCCGTGGGAATAAAACTGCTGGAATTCAGCAATTCATGCTTTAATATCTCTCATTTATCTAGAGCCTGTCAGTGTGTCTGCATGCAACTATACAGAGAAGATCTGAAAGTTTATAGCTCAGAGGTAATTGGTAGCTGTTAATTTTCGAATTCATGAATGCAGTATTTTCCAAAATAAGAGACCCAAGTCAACATAGCAAAATAAAAAAGTGCTTATGGCTTTCTTCCATGAACACTTGAGATAAACTTATATTAAGATTTTTGCTGTGGTCTTTTATAAAATGTGCCTATTTTAAGTAAAAAACCACAGTAAAAGCTGCTTGTTTCATTTTTTTTTCTTTGAAGATTCAGTTGTGATTAGGAGATAAGTTTTGTGAATTACAGTATTATAAAGAAAACCAAATATTAATACTCTTAAGGCACTATATTAACAGAAAATATTTCTTATTTGGGGGCATTTTGCAGGCCTAGACAGTGGGAGGTTGCAGATACACAGCCATGGAATATACCACTATATGTGCAAAGTACAGGCTGTCATTTTCTAGATGAAACAACATTTAGGAAATGCTTGCTGGTACCTCAGTATTGCATTATTTTCAGACAGCAATTTAGAAGTACATTTATGGCATCAGCTTTTTTGTAAGGATCAAGGTGATGTCCCCTGTTGGTGGTATGACTTGGCATTGCTGCTGAGCACTCTGCTGTGTGGGAGTGTTAATATTCTCCTCCAGTCACCTTGTGCACTTAGCCCTACATGTGAGGAGGGAATACGTGGTTATTTTACCACCCCAAGGCAGGGTTTAAGCAGGTGCTACCTGTCTGGTGTCCTGGGAATTCTTGAACCCAGTGGCTGCCTTTATGGGGTATAGTGAGACAGGCCAAGGAGGAGGCAGAGTGTTGTGCTTTATTTGTGATCAGGACTTAAAGGGCACCTGTAAGAAATTTGGGAGCCAACTTTTTAGGGCCCGTTGCGATAGGAGAAGGGGTGATGTTTTTAAACTAAAGGAGGATCAATTTAGTTTAGATTAAAAAAAAAAAGAACTTTTTTAGAGGGTGGTGAAATGCTGGCACAGGTTGCCCAGAGAGGTGGTGGATGCCCCATCCCTGGAAACGCTCAAGGCCAGGTTGGATGGGGCTCTGAGCAACCTGATCTGGTTGAGGATGTCCCGACCCATGGCAGGAGGGTTGGACTAGATGGTCTTTAAAGGTCCCTTCCAACCCAAACTATTCTGCTATGTTTTTCTACAGAGGAACTAAGCTGGCCCATATTTTCAGATGGTTTAAAGGGTATTTATTCAGAATTAGAATGAGATATGACAGAGACAAATACTCTTTCCAAAATATTCTTCAAAGTTGGAGTTTCTGACAGTTTCCTTCTTCCCAAACACCCCTCCCTTGAGATTTCTTAACTGAGAGTAAGCATTTCTTTTTTCATTTTCAGAATCCTTTCCCTGCTGTTTACAATGACCTGCTCAGGACTCTTAAAACAAGACTCCTCACCTAACTTTTTCCTTCATGCTCCTTGTTCTTGGGATTTTGATGTTAAAGCTGCTCTGACCTCTTCCCTCCCACAATCCCAGCTTCTCACCCACGGGATCATTAACTCCTGTAGCCCTGCTGAGCCTGGCACTGCACTGGTCTTCCTGCTAAAGCTCCAGCTTCTGTTTCTGTCAGGTATTTCAGAAACAGGACAAGTCTGTGTTTATTAAAGAAAATCCTTACCCCTGATTGGACCCTGAAAACACAGAAGATGTGTGCCAGGAAACAAGGATGGCCACGTGGCAACTCAGAGCTCCTCCTCATGGGACATAGGGTACAGCTATCCCTGCATAGACAGCATTCCTGCTTTGGGAGTCCTCTGGCAGGGAGTGGGGAGCAGCCCCATGCAGGGAGGTTGTGTGGCTTGACTGTCCTCCTGGTGCAGGCAGCATTCCTTCTCTCCTGAGGTCAGTGGCAAGGAAGGGAGAAGGATCATGAGGAAGAGCGATGGGGCCGCACTTGGAGCGTACAGGGTTGGTTTCCAACGTCGGCATCTGATAACCCTGCAATCCTGCCTGAGTGTGACCAAATTCCTGCTGGTTTGCCCGTTATTAGCACACTTCTGAAAGGCAGGAAGCTGGATTTGTTCCTTCATCATTTCAGCTAGAAATGAGTCACAAGTTTGTAATCTTGTTTAGGTCCAATTTGTTGATGAATGTAGTAAAAACAAAGGCAAATATTGCTACAGGAATTAGTTTAGCCCGGATGTAACACAACTGTGAGCTGGGCATTTAGAATTTATTTTGATGTGAAATCTTTATGTGAAATCTAAGCTTAGTGATATGCTGTCAGTTTGAGAAAATTATTTTAGGTTTGTCATGCTAACTTGGTTCTGGAGCTGAGAATTCAAACAGCACTGGAATAATGCAGAAGACTGATAATCTTCTCTCATACCTTTCACTGAAGGACTGATTTAGGAAATTGTCAGTCTGTTCAGTGGCCTTCACAGAGGACACAGGACTTTCTCCAGTAATGTTAAAGAAACTTTCTCTAATTTGTTGTGTATTCTACCCTTCAGGTTACCCATAAAAGGGACAAGGGAAAGGGCAAGAAAACTGCCTGTCATTCTTAGATTTTATTCCTAAATTTGAGTACATCTAGACTGCCTGTTTCTATTGAAAATGATTTATCATGGGAAGTGAAGCAATTTTGGAAACATGCCATTTTGTCTTGTGACTGCTTCTTTTAAAGAACTAATAATTATTTTTAATACAGAAAAAAAGGAAGCTGTATCCTGTCTAGTACAACATTTTGCAATATGTTAGTGGAGAAGGTGTAATATGTTAATATAGCATAGTTTTATCCAAAACCTAAGAAAGTTAAGGAACTAAGTTTCTACTTGTGTTGGCATGTGCTTATTAAAGCAAACTGTTTTGTTTCTTCCTGGTAAACAGTCCTTATTAATAATAAAAAAAAATCTATGAGAAGATGGAAATAATTGCAAATAATTATTTGATGTTTTTTGTTTAACAAATATGGACTGTGAGAGGAAATTTATATGGGTTTGGAGAGAACAAAAGAGATCACTGTTTTAGGAGTTTCATACTGATGCCCAGAGGTGGAGTCAGGGATTGCAGAAGCTCTAAAATAAAGGACTGAGGAAGGATTGAATTTATTTGTGATTTTATGATGAGTTCCTCCTTTTCAGGAAGAAAACGTGAAGCCACTAGGTTCTGTCTGGATAATTGCTAAGGTTACTGGTATGTGATGTAGCTGCTTCACTCAGTGTAGAACTGTTACACAGTTTATAGCACACACTTGTCTCTGCCCATGTGGCCAATTTAGGGTCTCTCAGCATGGCAAGACAACTGCTACAGAGATGGATTCATTTCTTAGTGCTTTGAAAAGGTATGACCTGAGCACTGAAATTCATATATCCTGAAAGCAAAGGAAGACCAGGGAGAATTTGAAAGCTTGACTTAACATTTTGAGTTTATGAAAAGGTGTTCTAATAGGCTTGGGGGAAAGGAAAGGGCAAGGAAAAGGGTAAGCATAAGTGGCATTCATTGGAATTATTTATAGAATTCTCATAGAGTGATTTTTTTTTTAAAATTTATTTTTTTTCCAAATTCTAATACAGTTTCTCCATTTCTGTTCCCTACCAGTATCCTTTTATGTTTGGACTGATCCTTGCACTCTGCTGGTGTTCTTTGGTTTGCTGTAGTCGAATTTATATGGGAATGCATTCAATTTTGGTAAGAAAATAATCCTGCTAAGCTTCTGTTTTAATGCTGTTCTGATTTCATAAACTGCCATCACATTGAAGGTTTTACAGTGCAATAATTGTATATAGATGTATTTTTTTGAATGTCCTACCATACAGGAACAGAATACTTACATTTCTTCAGCACAGAAGTTGATACAACAGCTAAAAGTGAATATCATGGTTAATTTATGCTTGTCTTTTATTAACTCAGTCCGCAGTTGAAACTTAACAGCTATTTAATGTCCAGAAATTGATGACTACTCTGAAGTGTAGACTAAATTTTCCTCTACAGAGTAGAAATAATTTTGCAGAATGAGAAAGTGGCTGTTAATGTTCACTTGGGTTCCATCTCAGCTGCTCAAAGCACATTCATTTCAGAGCACCACACTACCTGCTGGGGTTTCACTTCCCAGAGTTTCTAGAACCAAATAACGAAGTTGTCATCTTTGAAAAACAAACTCATTTTTTAAACAGGGTTAAAAAAAACCCCAAACTGAAACACAGATGTATGCAATGTAAAAATGGGAAAACAAGAACACTACAAAGGGGTAACTGGAATGCAAGACTGCTAATGAGGATGGTTTTTGAGGATCACGTGCTAGAAGGAGAAAAGCTAACTGACAGAAAAGAGTAAGCCTGGTAGGGAGTAGAAAAGCTGCTAGATGAACACAGTGTAAAGGGAGCATGTGAAAATAAGGCAGCTCAGAAAAACTGAATGGCATTTTTGTATCACTAATTAGGAGGCTTCCCAAATTAGAACCACTTGTGTGGAGGATGATGTGATGGACTGGTAGTTCAGCTGACACATAATGTCTTAGAACAAAGCAGTGCAACAAATAGTGACCAGACTGGGTTATTTGGCAGTTTCACACCTGAATCCTCTGCAGTGTTTGAGGGAATACAATTCACCACGTGTTGCCTGCAAGAAACATCAGCCATGGTGCCTGAGTTTGGGGGGAATAGGATGGCAAATAGAGCAGACAGTTGTGGTTGCTTCAGAACTGAGCAAGTCTGATGTTCATATCAGTCAATTGTATTAGAGCTTTTAGCAAGCATTCAATTAGTGGAAGTGAACAAAAAGGATCCATTGAAGAGGGAGCACTACAAACCCTGCTGATCCAAGTCCCACCTTATGGCTCATATGGAAGAGTTGATAAGCATGAGAATGAAGGGGATTCAATTTCTAGTTTTTGGTTTAGTGTAGTGCTTGTTCTTCATTAACAACTAAAGGTGACAAAAGGTGCAGATAATTCCACACAACTGAGTGATTAATCAACAGTAACTGAATTTTAACGCTAAATTAAAAAATAGAGTAGTCTTTTAACTAAGAAAAACCTTTTTAAAATCAGTAATAAAACTGAAAATCAAGTATGAAGCCATGGAAGTTACCTCTTCCTCTCCTTTAATAGCTGGAATCAGTTCTCTGTTCTTGCTCCACTGTTAATTTTGAAGCTGGAGTGGAAAGTTGAAGCTGCTCTAATGCCTGGCTGCAGCGGTCCTCAACTGCCAGCGTGCCTGTGTGTTGGCACCCAAGCACTGAGATCCACTGTTGAGCTGTTTCAGCAAACTTAAATTGGCAGAATGTATTTAGCTGGGCTGGATTTGTGCTGGCTGTAGGTTGGAATGCCCTGACCCTGGACAAGGACCACTGTTGCCAGCAGACAGAATCCTATAAGAACAACTAAATGGTTTGGGGTTGGAAGGGGCCTTTCAAGGCCATCTAGTCCAACCCTTCCTGCAGTGAGCAAGGCCTTCTTTAACTAGCCCAGGTTGCTTCGGGCCTTGTCCAACCTGACCTTGAATGTTTCCAGGGATGGGGCATCCACCACCTCTCTGGGCAACTTGTGCCAGTGCCTCATCACTCACATTGAAAAAATGCCTCCCTTGTATCTAGTCTCAGTCTATCCTCTTTTAATTTAAAACCGTCACCCCTTGTCCTGTCACAACAGACCTTACTAGAAAGTCTAGATCTGCAACTTTGATCATGGATCATTTGATCGTAACTTCGTTCATGATCTGGTCAGGATTCAGGTAACTTGTTAATAGGTGGTCAAATACAATTCTTTACCTTATCTTTAAAAAGAAAAAAAGGGAATCCACAAGTCACTTTTAGCATTACAGCAGTCTAGGCTTGTGTTCTTGTTAATGTGATTTAAAATATTTTTTTAACAGTTATTACACTGAAACCATGTCTTTCTCTTCAACAGGACGTTATTGCTGGGTTTCTGTATGCTATTCTTATCTTGGTTGTCTTCCATCCAGTTGTGGACCTGATTGATAACTTCAACTTGACTTACAAATATGCACCCTTAATTATCATCAGTCTCCATTTGGCCCTGGGCATCTTCTCCTTTACCCTGGACACGTGGAGCACGTCGCGAGGAGACACGGCTCAGATCCTGGGCTGTGGTGCCGGCGTGGCCTGCGGCTCTCACGTCAACCACATAATGGGCCTCCAGCTGGATCCTCCTCCCCACACCTTACCGTTGTCCCTGTCCTCCCTCACCGTGACTGTGTTTGGAAAAGCCATCCTGCGGTTGTTGATCGGGGTGATAGTTCTGCTGTTAACAAAAGTGGCCATGAAAAAAGCCACGATCCCCCTGGCCTGTAAAATATTTCGCATCCCGCACGGCGACGTACGGAAAGCACGGCAGCGCATGGAAGTTGAGCTTCCCTATCGCTATATCACCTATGGAATGGTTGGGTTCTCCCTCATGTTTATTGTTCCTTGCCTCTTCCATTTCATTGGTCTTTCCTGATGCAGTTTGAGCACGTTAAATAGGGAGAACAGAGCTAGTTGCTTTTTGGAGGTGCACTAGTTTGCTACGGGAAGGCCGGCGAGCTTGGCTTTAGCAGGGTCTTCACATTGACAGCAGTAGAAAGCAGGCAAAGCATTTAGAGGGCTTTGCACATCTCTGGGGATGCTGTAGGGCCAGCAGTCAAGTATCAGTCCAGGAGAGGTGCTGAACTCTGTAAATGCTGTGTCTAGACTTATTGCTGTAACAAAGTCTGTGTGTGTGTGTGTGATGCAGTGAATGTATCTGGGATGTCTGTCAGTCTGTACCTGTGTACACTGACACTTTAACAGGTATGTCTGACAACTAATCAGAAGGCTCCATTCATCATCTGTTTGCCATTTCATGGTAATTTACTCAAGTTGTTGGACCATAGGCTGCTAAATTTGCTTTCTTCTGTTCTTTCCTGAAGTCCTGCTTCAAGATGTTTCAGCTAATAGGTATTTCTAATGGACCAAACTTGTAATGAGGTTGAATTTTTCTAAATAAACAAGCAGAAGCCTTTTTCTTTAGCCCCCTCTACAGAGTAAAATGTCTGGATTAGCATTGGTAGATATCATTAGAGTATACATAATTCAGGTACTGTATTTTATGGTTTGATAACTGTGCCTTTCTGTTGCTAAATTAAGAAATGCCATATATACTGTGATGTAAAAATGCCTAATTTTTATTTAAAATCTTACATAATTAGGCAGATATTTTGAAATGTTAGATTGTCCGTGTTGCTGACATGGTTCAAGTTAACCAGAATATTCAGTTTTGCCTGATCAAAATTGAGTAATGAAATAGCCCAAAAATTGTGTCTGTGAGCTCAAGATGTTGTAAATGAACAATAATCCCTTTTGTAAGTATTTTTAATGTGTATTGTAAGTTACTGGAAGAGGATATATTTTTCTGGAGATTGTTTATACAGTGGACAGATATTCAAAATTAATTATTTAAACATATAAACAATAAAAACACCCCATTCTGCAAGGAAATGGGCTTCACTTATTATTCCAAACTAATCTAGAAGGACCACTGCTTTTAGGTATTTGGTTAGAAAATATAATCCTTATTCTAGAAAATATATGTATTTTTATGCATTAACATACTATATTTAAAGGTGATAGTCACTTTTACCCAGTTTAGATAGCTATAAGACAATGTAAAGATCAAATTAAATTTTTAATCATTCTGACTGACAGATGGTGAGCAGTCAAGACAGTATGGTCAATGCATGAACTGTTTGTGCATATCTAAATTTTACAGCTTTTCATGGTCCTTTTTCCAGTGATGAGTAGGATATGACCCTTCAACTGTATTTTCATGTGCCTATTTCTGTTTCATTTTGCCTTGTTCATGTGTTGCCCAATGTGTTCTTTCCGTGTCAGGAACTGTTATTCCAGGAAGCGCTGTCTCAGTGACAGACACAAATTACTTAATTTTGCATTGTATGTTTCTCTTTCAGGAAAAGCATCATTTGGTTGGGAAATACAGTGATTAGATAGAATGCAAAGCTTAAATTTTTTGTAAACGTTATTTGGAATTGGAAGGGGTTTGTTTTGTTTTTGTTTTTGTTTTTTTTTTGTATTGGAGATCATATCTCCAAACTGTTACTGTGTAGATTTACGAAATCAACTTCACTTTCTTTGAAGCAGAGGAATTTATGGTACACTGGCACCAGACCATGTGAAAAATAACTTTTCTGATGCATTTCTCCAGTGCACCCCGAATGCACCGCTATGAATGTATTCAAACTGAGGAATTCAGAGCTGAGGGGGTGTTGAACAACTTGTGTGGTTGAAAAGACCTTACCCAGTAGAAAAATGGTTCCCTTGTTTCTGTGCATATTTCTGCATTTGATTTTTTTTCTCTCTGTTTCCCTTTTACAGTTCAATGCTGAATGTGCAGTAAAGGGTAAATTGGTTTCTGAGGTTTTGAGGGTGGGATTTCCACTGGTTTGGCTTTGCACACCAAGATAGCCATTAAATAAATAGCTGGGGGAATGTACACAAAATGCCTTATGCTTAAAGCCCTGAGAAAGTGCTGTAGTTTCAATTATATTAAATTAGTCTGAGGACTGGTGAAAATAATAGGATAGCTTTCTCTAAAGTTTAGGGCATATTCTCCTTGAATATCCTAGCTTTACAGTTTATAGCAAAAAATGTTTAAATTCTAGCACAGAAAAGTGAGCAAAACTAATTTTTAAGGTACATATTGGACTTTTAGACACTTCAAGTTTACAGCATATAGAGTGTAGCTCAAGCTGTCTTTTCTAGCTGTGCTTGCTCTCTTGTAGTATTAATGGAACATGAAGTGTAGTGTGGAGGATATAGAAGGGGTGGAAAGGATCACACACAGGTAGAGCTTTCAACAGGCTAAGGAAAATTGCACTGTATCTTATTCTACTGTTACTCATGAATATATATTTTATATTTTTATACATTACACTGAGTAACTTCAAAATGTCATGTTCCATGTACCACAGTCTGGTCCCCAGGAAATGCACATCAGAGTGTTTATGCAGCACCTTCACAACTCTGTCTCTTCAGACTGCAACTACTTTACTGAAGTTTACATGAGAAAAAGTTTTACTCTTCTATTTTCATGTTTTATAAGGGGTTAGGCTCAAGAGGGCAGTTTAGCACAAATGTCATGCAATACAAATACTGTTAGAGAATAAAGAATCACAGAAATGCAAACACTTAAAAATCCCAACGTAAATGTTTGTATTGTAGTATAATTTTGTTTACTAATAAGCTGAGATTCTTTGGAATTGGGCATAACAAAGCAGCAGGTAGAACTGGAGCACTTTTTGCCCTAACCTATTCCTAGAGTTGAACGTGAAAAATGTTTCTAGTATGAGCATCAGCTGGTACCAAATGGTTAAATAAATGTTAAATAAATTTAACATAGCTTTAAAAGGTAGTTAGATGTCTTTACAGAAGGAAAATATGCTTGAAACCCTTCATGAAATAGTGCAAAAATGTATTCCATGTCACTGCTAGGGAATTCCCTCTGTCCCAGGCTGTATAGTCTTAAGGAGAGAACTTCTACTTTATAGAAACAGATAAAAATGCACATTTATTACAAAAAGCTGCGAGTTAAATTCATCTTATTTAATTACTGTATGAAATGAAACTTAATACCAACAGGCATAAATAAAGGAGCAGGATTTTTTTTGCTGACCTGGCCCTCAGTCAGCAGTGAGCATTGCATCCTGGGTGAGTTTTAGAATCTGTTATTTTGAAAAAAGCTTCATTTTTCTGAAAAAGTGATTACTTTTGCATCCTATACCACGAGCTGGGGTTGATTGAAGCATCCTTCTCCTGTGTGATCACCTGTGAAGCTGTTCAGTCTCTGCTCATGTTTGCCTTACCACTCACCTTGAAACTGTGGGGGAAAGGTGGGAGGTGGAAAAGCTACTTAAAGGTAAATTGGCAAACCAAAGGGAGTTGTGTATGGTTTATTTGCTTGGAATTTTTTAAAGGTTATGTACAGCTTTTCTCCAAAAAAACCCAAACAACCACCATAAAGATGCATTTCTTATAAAATGGCATCTCTAAATGTGATACGTGGCTTTTGTGTTGTTTATTTTTTTCTTACCAGAACAGTGTTACATTGTCTGGATATTAGAAGCAATTATGTTTTCCTTTGCTATTTTTAATTACTGCTCTCAGTACTTTTTTACTCCATTTCTTGCTTATTTCCAAGGGGCTGACCAGAACTTTTGTAACCAATTGCTACTTATGTGAAGATTGTAATTTTGAACTTGTAAATACTTAAGGGCTGTGAGTGGCTGTTAGCTGCAAAAATGCATAAAAACAAACCTTGCATGCTGTAAGTAAATACATCTGTTGTGCTAAAAATTGTTTCTGTTTCAGTATTTGCTTTCTCAATACAAAATTGAGATTTTTGACATAGAATACAGATGATACTAAGTAATTGAGTGGTATGAAGGGGCATTGCTGTCAAACTCCTGTTAACTTTACTCGAAGTTTTGCACCTGGTTCTTTCCATGTTACACTGAGAGTGAACCCTGAAGGACAAATCCATGCTCTGACCTGTGTACAGACATCAGTGTCTGAAGTGACTTCCCTTCTGAGGTGTGACAGCCTTGCTTTTGAGGTCTGAGAGATTGTTCTTGCTAAAATCACACTCAGCCCCATTTTTACGAGACTTTTAAAGGGCTTAACTTGGAAGCTGTTTCTCAGTAGCTGGAAGTGGTTGCACATTTGTGACACTTCATTGATGCTTCCCCCCTGTACCAGAATTGTGTCAGTGACGAGACCCCAGAACAATGTCAGTAGATAAAGTGATGACAGAACAATTGATTTATTGGGGTATTGTGACTCAACTTGCTGTAATTGATTCCTGGGTGGTTTTTTGGTCTAATGTAGAATGTTTGTAGGTTATACAATTTATTTCTGTATTTTACAAACAAGTTTGCGGAAACTGAAACTTTTTGTGGGAGGAAGTCTCATTGAATGACTTCATGCCAGAACTTTATTCCAGTGGAAAGCTCAAGTGGCCTTTTTGTTTCAGAAAAAAAAAAAAAATAAGCCCATTTTAAAATTTATTGTAAGTACCATCTTTGTCAAAATGATAGATGAATTGAGTCATTAATGCTGTTTTTCTTCTTACAATACTTCCTTAAACAAAGCTGAATTTGGAAACAAAATATGACATTGTGTGGCAGAGAAGATAGAGCTCTTTAGGTGTTCTCTAAAAAGTGATGCTAGATTTGAAGCACATTTAACCATGCATTGGAAAAATTTCTTTGCACTCCATTCTGCACTAGAAATAATTTGCATGTTGGTAAGAGTCCACTTAAGAAAGCAAAGCAGGATGTGTACTATCAGTAACTGTTCCTGTAGGATCAAAGGAGAATAGAGGGTACATGGGATAATACTACCTTGAAGTTATTGACCAGTAAATGTAAATAAGAATTCCCATCAAGTTGGAGAATTTTATTAGTCTCTAAACTTTGACTAAATTAGTCACTAAGTTTTCTTACAAGTTTATTTTTGTTAGAAAGTGTAATGAAAGACAAGGGTAATATTGCTGAGATGGAAATAAGATCTTAAGAAAACTCTAGATGTCTAAAGTATCAAAGCTGATAAAGATCAGTTCAGGAGCAAGTGACGTGAACAGTAAGAGCAGAGTCTGAGGGGGATTTTGTATTAAACTTAATGCACTTAAAACTGATGCCAAAATTTGGCCTATACTTGATTTATATGAAATCTGTAGTACAATATAGATATACATATATATAATATATTGTGTATTGGAGTTTAATTTTTTTATGTATAGATTTTTTTTTCTTGTTACTGCATTCCCTGATAAAAGGAAGTGTTGATAAAATACAAACCAGCTTTGTCTGTGTAAGGTAAGGCTGTATGTTAGTAGTATTTTGGGAAATAATGCAGTTGTAACCCAATCTCTCAACCTCTTGGAGAACTTCATTAAAAAAACCACACCTTTGAGATGCAAGCCCCGAGTTAGCTGAGGATCATATAATGGTTGCTGTATAATAAGTGTACAACTGATGTTTTAGACATCAGTACACTGGAACTTTTTGTTACACTATGGTTAATGATTTTGTACTCGTTGTACACTTTCTGCAGTTGTCAACTAATATTTAAACTCGTATTGACTGGTAACTGAAGTGTTTAACTTCATCTGCAATGAGTGGGTAATAAACTACTGTTGGATTCCGTTGTGTTCTGCTGTCTTCATTCCTTCCAGTGCTCAGTGACGTAGTTGGACACATACCACAAGTGTAAAAGACTGATCACAAGAAACCTGACACTCATATTAGCATATAGCAGTAATTGTTACAACAATATTGTCTTTTAAGGTGTGGGCTCTAGAGGCAAAAGTTTAAGGAAACAATAATAAGGAAATACTGAAATGAGAAGTTTTTTTCCACTGCCTTAAAATCTGGACTGTTTAATTTGATATTTTAAAAGCCAACCCAAGATGTTGATCAAACTGTATACAAAGATTGAAGTTTTATCACTTGTTGTGTGCTGATAAATGAGTGTGGAAGCATCTCTTACCCTGACAGGAGACTTGCTCTCTAGGAAAGAGCCTGTTGTGGAGAAGAAGTAGTTTCACAAGTTGTGACACTCCTGAACTTTGGGTGTCCAGCAAATACCTGATGGCTGCCTTGGCTTGCAATGTGGGGTCAGTGTAATGAGATAGCCCAGTTCTTATTTCCCCTCAGAAAACAGCCATGCAATTTGTCTCCTGAGGGGTCACGTTCCAGTAACTTCTGCTCACCTCCCAAATCTGCTCTGAAAATCAGCCAGCTGTGAGTATCTTTTTTTTTTTTTCTTTCCAGACTCATTTTCATGGAATGTATGCAGGCAGTATATTTGCCTGAGCTTTGTTTCTTAGGAAACCAGGCCAGCTGAAGAATAACATTAATTCCAAACTTGGTGGATTTTGTTTTACCTGGTTCCAAGATGCTTTAACTGCTGTGTGATATGCAAGCATGAGAACGTGTTAGTTCAGTTGTGTATTTGTATTAACTTGAAGTAGTCTTAAGTTACTTGGAGAAGTGTAGCAAAAAACATTAGTGAGCACAACTCTTGCTTCCTCTCTTCCTGCAGTTGTACAGCACCCAGTGAGGAAGAAGTCTGAGCAGTTGAGTGATGTATGTGAAAGGAGTTGCAGAAGAGGTGGGAACTGCCCCTTGAAAGGAAGCTGTGAGGCCACCGCAGGTCCATTTGTTGGGCACTGCACAGTGTTGCTCCTTGTTTTGCTAAATGGAAAGATTTATGTGGCACTGGTGCACAAAATTGTACTTTTTACACTTTTTGCATAAGGTAAGAACTCATCCTTCATGCTCAGAAAATTTGGAACTTGCAGAGGTTCTTCTTTTTTTGTTTTTTGGCCTGCCAAGGCCTTTTTATCATTTTTTAGAGCTGTCAGGAATGTAGATAACCAGGATGCTAATTCCAAGGACTGCAGAAATAAACAAACTGTTGGTTATTAGTTCTAAGTTTTGAGATAGTTTTGCAGATGCTGAGACAAAACCCAACCAAGATCACTCAAGGAGCCCCAGAAAGGATAACCTCAAAAAAAAGTACATGATGGAAACCTCACCAAGTGTAATTATATAACACCTCTTAGGTGAGATTCTGTTTCTCATTCCACTGATATTTGTAATTGTTTATGGTCTTTGCTGAGGAAACTAAGGTTTATTCTAAGTCTTTATAATTAAATCCTTGTTTCTAAAGCAAATCTCCGGTCCGTTTCTTCATAAAATGACTCATATGTGCTTGGTCTTTCTAATTCTTCATTCTAAATAAAATGATTTTGAAGGGATTTGGGGTAAGCATTCCTCCTCTGCTTAAACAGCTGATGGAGCTTAATTGATAGACTCATGGCAGTTCTGGTTTGTGCCTTGAACTGAAACTGGAAAGGTGTGATTGAAACACTTTTGATCAATCCTTCCTGACCAAATATTACGGATAACAATCTCCATAGACCTGAGATTTGGATCTTCCTCAGTTGTGTATTGTTGCTCTTTCCATGAGACTTCTAGATCACAAGAGAGAAATGGATAGAGGAGAACTGCATAAACCCTTACTGGTAAAAATAATCTGTAATGAGTTTAGCTCTGATTTGCATATAGATTGTCTAATTTGATTTGACTTTTTGCTTGCTAATTACTTTGCAGAAAGTAAAAGCGAGTTCCTGCCCAAAAGCTTAAACCTGCAGTGCACTGGGAATTGTCCTTTCCTTTTTATATTTTTTAATAGAGCTTTAGTCTGTGAAGAACAGATGGATGTGGAGAAACTTGTTTTTCTTTTCTGAAGGATTTTCTTATCCT